TTTCTTGAGGTGTCAGGTCGGGGGAGGCTGGCTCGCACCCCTTCTGCAGGAGGAAGGGGGATGGAGGGCCAGGAGGCTGCAGCAGCCCCGGGACCTGCAACTCTGCAGCATCCTCCCTGGCGCTGGCACGCAGGGCGCTGGGGGTGGGGGAACCGTGCGGCGCGGGGGACGGCGGGGGGCTGGGGCTGCGAGGACTGCCCTGTAGGTGACTTGTGTCAGCAGTGGGGGAAGGAGGCTCGCTCTTCCCCTTCTGCAGAGAGGTGGCAGCCCAGTGCACCCAGCCAAGCCTGCTGATGCAGGTTCTGACTAACGTAACTGCATCAGGCTTCTTCCGTCCTTGTAGTTTAAGGCAAGTGTGGAATGCAAGAACGCAGAGTTAGAAAACAAAGTTGCAGTGTGAAGTGTTTTTCTTTTCGGGACTCCGATTCTCCTTCTGACCTTACAGTGTAACTTGATAGGTTGAGGGAAAACCTGCAGCACTGAGGATGTGACTCCTTCTTGTGTATGTTAGTACTCAGTGATGGCTAAAGCCTATGTAGTAAGTGAATAATGCTAAAAAGAAGGCATATATTTCTCTTTAATGCCCAATTTTATCATGTGATATCTCTAGAAAAATCAGTTTTACTAAACTTTCTACTTGTAAGTTGTTGCACATGTGCAACTTTAGACACTAACAAAAGATTTCAGTGGTTTCATCTTCCAAGTCAAGTTTCTCAAGGTTTCAAGTAAATACTGTAGTTGCTGCTTTAAATATATCAGGTTGCATAATTGTGTTTCAGAGTTCTGAAGGAGGAAGTACGACAGTACTCTAGTGCACTGAGAATCATTGTACTTATTTGGTTGCCTCAGGGTATGTTTAAACTGTTTCAGGAGAAGTTAGTCTTCTGTGGGTTTCCAAAGTGACATTATTACAGTCCTGTTGTAATGACGCTCTTTTACAATTGCTTTCTGATTTTTATTTAAAAAAATAAAATTTTAAAATTACTAAGAGTAATTGATGTGTCTGACATAGCACATAATAAGTGGAATTCAATTTCTTGGATTTTTTTTTTTTCCCCCAGATATTTGAGGTGAAAATACACGTGTAAAGCCTGGCGTTTACAGAAGATGAAAGACATCGACATAGGAAAAGAGTACATTATACCCAGTCCTGGGTACAGAAGTGTGAGGGAGAGAGCCAACTCAGTGCAGCATGAAGAGCAGGAAGGGTCAAAATTTCAGCATGCTAAACATCAGGTCAGTTTTTTTTTCCATTGTTTGTTTTGCAGTCTCATTATTAAATTACATGCAGCAGCAGCCTTTTTGCTGTGCCAGCTCTATACAGATTCACTGGATTGAAGGTCAATAATGAATAATCCCTTTTGTGTGAAAGAGGTCATTCCAAAGGATATTGTAGCTATCTTAGTAACAAGTCTCAGCACTTATTAAACATTTTTCACTTTTAAATGTGACTTTGTAATAAAATTTAAACAAAATGAACTTTTATAGTAATCAGATCTTCGTTTGCATCCAGGCATTATTTTAAGCTTTTGTACTTAATAAAATCATTTCAACCAAGTAAGAACAGTGAAGAGCTCAGCACAAATCATGTACCATTCAGTGTTGGCAGCTGAAAAAGTCTTAATCATGCCATGGTTTTCTCAAGGATTAATTTTCTAAAGCAGATGTCTGCCTTGCTCTGGTGGCAATACTTTACTTTTTCCCTCAGATGGAAGTAATTTGTATTGAATCCTGTTTTGTTTGCAGTTGTGAGTTTAATATGGTGAGGTGCTGTCATAATTAATTCTAGCTTAATTTGAGAGCTGGGTCTTGAAATAACCACTGGCTTAAAGCTTGCATGTCCTTGTTCTGAGCTTCTAATTTTTAGGGCTTTTTCTCACTGAAGGTGGTGCATATGCAAATGCTCTAGGACAGAAAAAAGATAAACGTTCAGGTAAATGGAAACACCCACACTGGTGAAAGATCTGGTCTGAAACCAATAACCTGTGCCAGATAAATATAAAATAATATTAGCAGTTCTGAATGCTAGCACAGGAAGATTTTCTTACATGTCCTGTTCTTAACCTTTCCTAAAATACTAATACAGAACTTTCTGAAGTTAATACTGCCTATGTCTGATTTTTTTGCAATGACCAGGTGCTTGCGGATGTGTTGCCGAGCGTTCCGTGTAGATTGCCTATGACAGCTCTGGTGTGAGAGGGTTGGAAATAGGGGAACTTGCTGTATTTGTATGGAAGTATTGTGAAGACTTTTTAAAAGGATTAACTTTTAATGCATTATGTTAGACTCTGAGATAGGATGTACTTCAGATAAGGTTTACCATGTTTCGCTGGGGCTTAAATGGTATTGCCAGGTGTTTTTATGTGGGCTAACAGTGCTGCACTGCTGGATTTTGAGATTGGAGCCGTGTGTGTTGCAGCAGGCTGAGTGCAGTTTGCAGTTGCAGGCCCTGCAGCTTCTTGTGTCCCCACAGGCTCTATGACTCAGCAGACTATTGCTGATGGTATTCAGAGGAAGGTAGAGTGATTGCATTAGACCAGGCACTGATGCAGAACTAAGAGCCCTCTGGAGTCACAGTGCAGCTTCTTAATGGCATTTATTATGTTGATGTCATAGGCTTGCTGTTCACTGTGTCATCATTGTACACTGCCCAGTAGCTAATCTGCTCTGTCAGATTACTGGTGACAACAGTGATGCTATTGGTGGACAGCTTTATTTCCTGACCAGTGGCAGTGGAGTTAAGCAGTAATCAAAGCATGTTATCTCTGCTTGTAGGTCTGCATCTTCTAATCATGTTGATGCCTGGCTTAACTTATGAGTCAGAAATCCTTATTTTACCTCTAGGACTTTTAAATGAGTGAAATCAGTCAAACCAGTATATTTTTATTTTTATTTTCCTGAAGGCTGAAAGTAAGCCAAGTCCTACATGCCTCTACAGCATGACATTAAAGTCTAACTTTGAGGTAGCTTCAGGTTAGCTTGACTCTTGCTGTAGTCTTGTTTACCTTTCTACCTCTACTGTTTGGTGTGCTGCCTATGACTACAGGGTAGTAGACCCAGGCGTCTGTTTGCGAAACAGGGGTTCTGTAAAACTTGTGATTACTGATGCAAGAAAATGGCTCACCCTAGTTCTTACCTAGAACTTTATCTGATTTGATTTCTTTCCTTAAAGGAATGAACTTAATTTGTTTTACTAATGGAATTGGCTAGTTCTGACAGGTTACCCATTTTACTTCCTAGGTCTGTTCAATATGCCAGGGTTAATTTCTTGCTGTAACATTGGTTGGTACCTTCTTTGTTCTGCTAGCATTATAGCTTGGATGAATCCATAAATACAAGTAGTTCTGAATTCATTGCTGCATGTCAGTAAGACTATATCCTGCTTACTTGCAAAATACTGAGGTCAAGTAAAAGGAGCTGTGTTCATAATATCTTACCTAAGTTACATGTTCATGTTTGTGTGTACCAGGATTCTTTCTAGTTGAAATAAGCTCTAGTTTTAGCAGCATTCTTGGCCTTATCACTTGTTGGTGCTTTCTGTGTACCAAACTTCTTTCTAGTTGAAACAAGCTCTGGTTTCAGCAGCATTCTTGGCCTTATCACTTGTTGGTCCTTTCTCTTTTGTAACAGGGATAAGGAGAGACTTTGCTTTCATAAGGCAGAGATTTACCTGTCTGGTCAAGCACTTCCCCTCTGCCTGTAAGAGAAGTGTAGAAGCTGTAGCTCAGCTGTTGGGGAAAAATGGGTTTCAAGGAAACAGAAGGGACTGTGGCCTTCACTACTTCATCCTTTATGAAACCTGATATTAGGTCAGATGCCTTAGCTGGATTATTTGGCACATGTTGGCATGGCTGGCGGCAGAACAGAGCGGTTCCAGTAAAGGGGTTAAGCTGTAGTAGAACTGTCATTTGGACAAAAGAGCCCAGTGTGCCATCAGTAGAGATTCTGGGACTCTCAAATTTCTTGTAGAAAACCTAGCTCAGGAGTTGAACTAGCTTGACCAGAGAATAAAGCTGCAAGCATGATCTATTTAGCAAATAAGATGCAAGCAGATTAAGGCTGTTATTTCGCTACAGTCTTAAGATCTCTGTAGAAGAGCTTGTGCAGTTTTGTGACCGTTTTGCAACAGACACTGCATGAGGTAGACTCTTTGCTAACATGTTGCATAGATGTCTCATACCTTGTAGCGTGAGGTAGAACTGCATAGTTCGTGGAGGCGGATGCGGAAGCATGCTGCCTCTGGTAGTCACGAGCTTCTGGTTAATGGCCTGTGGCAGTGATGTACCTGTAGCCCTGCCAGAACTGGTGAGTGATCAGTAAAATGACTTGCTGGTTTTTCTGTTGCCTGTATTGCTGCATCTTTATACACCCTTCTTAACTTGAAGTGGACAAGACTAATTGGTTGCCTGATAAAGATCTTTATAGGTGAAAGACCTATTTTACTACTAAGCCAGGGTCCCTGAGCCTTTTTATATGTCTGTTTGTGTTGCATAAAGGTTGTATTCAAATTTGCTCTTTCTGTTCTGAAACTTTCATATTGGTGTTCAGGTTTCCTGCTGAAAGGATGCTGTAATCAGTGTTCATGAAAATAATGAAAAAATCTTGTAATTCTTTCCTTAGAAGCTTAAATGGTGTTTGGTCACAGTCTGGTAGATCACTTATTTGAGAGACAGGAGCTTTTTAAATAGGCTTCCTGGAATCATGATTGAAATCATGCTGCAATCTAAGTGGGTCTAATCCAGCATTTCCTGGTGCTTAATGGGAATGTTGCTATAGAAATTTGGACCTGTGAAATAGGCACTCAAGGACTGAAAAATCAAGAAACATTTTTTGTTCAGCTTGTGAATACATATAGTCAACTCATGAATAAGTTTCTGCAGTGTGCTCTTGTAACAATTGATTTTTAAGGCTTTGGAGACCTTAATGTCACTTACAAAATAGGGTGCTAACTACATGTTCCCAAGGCATAATACCATGCTAATTGGGCTTATTGTATGTGGGGGCATGGCTCTTCTGAATAAAGATAACTTCTAGGTGCCCTTGCTGCCAGCACTGTAGTCGGCAGCCTTCAACTGTAAGAAGTTGCTACATTACCAGTGAATAAAAATTAAGGGATGTTTTGAAATATTGATTCATACCTTTAGAACTTTTTGTTCTCAGAATGCTTGTATGCCCTTTGTGTTGTATCTGAAGTAACTGTATTTAGTTGTTCTCATGGAAGCAGTGTGCCCTATGGAGGAAGGCAGATCCCAGCAGTGTGTCCTGAGGAGGAGGGCAGATCCCATTGTGTCCATGAAATGCACTATAAAATGACAAATGAGTAAGAAATAATTTGTTCTCAAAGTGGCTTTGGAATAGGTTCTTAAATGTAGACTTAATGTTTATTTAATGGAACAGTGGGCGAGTGAGCGTTTTGCTCCCCTACCCCATTATGCTCACGACAACAGAAGAGGATGTAGAAGCAGCTTGTTCTCATGGTACACAATGCTTATGAGAACTCAATTCTTGAAGTTAGAGTCCCTAAGTTAACAGTGCCAGGGCACTAGTTTACAACTTGTACTCCAAGCTGTAATTGGTTCTGACTGCAATGTCTGCAGCATCAGTGATGAGCCTCAAGTGTGGATTGTTGCATTTCAAGACACTGGACAGTGTGGAACTGTAGAGAGTACTTTAAATATGCAGAGAGAATGTGTTGCTGACTTTAGCTATCAGAACCCTTTCTAACACTCCTGTCCTCATGTTGATCTCTTATCTTTCAGGTTTGTCTCTCACAGCTTTTGGCAAAGACAGCAGAGAATGTGATCAGAACTTGTTGGAGTTGATGTAAATCCTTCAAGCACTGATAGCTTTGAAGTAATTTATCACAATCTTACTGTTCAATACTCAGGTCAACTCTGCCTCTCAACTTCTCTGGAGCATCTGAAGTGTCTGAACCAACTGTGCTGAACAGCATGTTCAGAAATAGGAATGTGAATGTAGCCTGTGTACTGATGCCTTGGTACTCTGCTTGGATCAGGCCTTCTAGATGGTTTAACTATAAGCTTTAAATTGTAGCTGAAGCTGCTGGATATCTGCATTTTTCTAGAAGATTTCATACTTTCATAATCAGGTAACCACATAACTTTAGGAATTACAGCCCAAGCAGGCTCTTAAAGCCTGTAGGTGTTCTGAATATTACTCTAAGCAGAAAGATATTGCTATATGGCTGGCTCTGATTACAGCTAGAAGCTGTAGCA